GGGGGGGAGAAGGAGGAGGGGGAATGGGTGGAAGGTGCCGCTGTGCCTGGAGAAAGGAGCTCGGAGCCCGCAGGAAGGAGAAGGTGCTGGCAAAGGCACCTCTTCTCTCCCGGCTGCCCGCTGCCCACTGCCCACTGGCACGTCTGTCCTCCCATAAGTGGGCCGAACCCAGGGACCATCACACAGGGGTTCAGCCCACGGTCACCTGCAGGGCCTGGGGGAGGCACAGCAAGGAGACGGTGGCACCCACGCACGGTGGTGAACAACCTGGGGAGACGGGCGGGGGGCAGGGAGGCTTGTCCAGTCTCTACAAGCAGGCTCAGCTCCCAGGCACCGGCCTGCGACCCACACACCCCTTCCCCGCAGATCACCGCCGCGGTGGCAGCTCGCTGCTGCTGAGTGAGGGGGGACATGGGCCTGGGACACAGAGAGCCCCTGACAACGGGCAGCGACCCCAGTGTGCCGTCCACAACGGGCTCTGTGCCACTTCGCACCCCACAGTCACCGGGATGGAAGTCTGGTGATGTGCCCAGCGCCACAGGAAGCAGGACGGTGACCTGGGTGGGCACAGGTAGCTGGTACAACACATTGAGTGTGTGAGCCTCAGTCCTCAGCAAGACAGCGGCTGGGCACACCTGTCTGATGGTGGGCACTGCCCTCGAGGGGCTGACCCACCCTGGCAGGTCCCAGACCCCAAGTCTAAAATCCCCTGAGCCAGCAACAAAGGGTCCGGCCCATCCACCACCGAAGCAAGCAGTGCCAGGCGGCTGCTGGCACCGGGCCTGCCTCTGCGAACAGGACAGTGTCTTGTCACTGGAGACCGCAGGCGCAGGCCGGTCTTCCCAAGACACAGGGGGTGTGACCAGGAGCAAAGGCTGCAGCCTGCGAGGTGGCCGCCGCCCCTGTCCCGGGGCCTTGCCCGCTCCTCCCGCACAGTCTTTGGTGGCAGCGCCCTGAGCAGCAGGCTCACCCATGCGATGCAGGAGAGGCGTGGCGGCCATGGCGGGTGCTGGCGTGGCTTGGTGAGCTTGCCACGTCCGGCCTGGCTTGGGGCCTCCCAGGACCTCATCACAATCCAAAAAAGTGTTGGACATGTTTGACCAGGGAGTCAGGTGACTGTGACCCTCCCAGTTCGGGGCTGAAATGAGAGAAAGCATGAATCCATCCTTCCCTGAGCGTAAGGCAAGCGCCTCACCCTCATTCACGAGCTGCAAAGAATGCTCCCGGCCTTGGAGATGTGCGGAGGGAGGAGCTCAGGTACTCCTCGTATTCATTGACTAGAATCGCATCTATGTACTTGCGGCCATGGCTGGGAATCAGGACCGACATGAGTCAGACCAGGATTTTCTACTGCGTGGGTGGGGGTGCCCTTAGCCCCCTCCTTGCTCATCTGCAATTTATGTGCAGGGTGGGGCACAGGTAGGTTTATAGTTGTGAGCATGTGAAACACAGAGTTTATTCTTGTATTACTATTTACTAATTATTGTATTATTTTCCATACAAACAACTGTAAACCTACGTTTGCCCCACCCCGATTTACAGATTTTTACTAGGTCTGCAATATGCCTTACATTGTAGGGCTTTCATGGATCGGTGACGTATGAACTCTGCTTAGGGAACAGGGTGTTTAACCCTCTTCACCTCTGAGACCCAGCTCCTGGGAGGGAAGCCAAGGCAGGTTCCCAAAGCGGCAGGATATGCAAAGGAACACTTACACTTGGGAAACACATTTCTTCTGTGATTAAAGATCTCACACAAAAATTAAGGTGCCCCTGAGAGGCTAGGGGTTTCAAACAGCGCCTTCACCACCCAGGACGCGACCCCACTCCCGCCTGATGGCCCCCCAAGTGCAGACGAGCTCGGCGGGCAGGTCCCAGGCCCAGAGCACCGCCAGGGGCAAGTGGATTTACAGAAAGAGGCAAGAGACAAGTCTATTTTAAAAACTTACTTGCAGGTACTGTACTTGCCCTTTAAAACAAAGTTAGCAAAGAAACCACTGTACAAATTTTAGTCAAATGAAAAACCCACCCACCCATGTTCAGGTTCACCACATCTTAGTACCCATTTTGAGCATTAATTTAGCCCTATCCCGCCCAAGAACGCACAGCCGTGGTCACAGCCACAAAGTGCACACGACAGGAAGGCTGGGGTGAGAACGCTGTGCACACGGCCCGCCTGCCTGCAGTCTCCCCGAGAACAGCCCAGGCGCAGCGGAGGCCCAGCGGTCCCACCCCGCCTGCACCAGGACACAGGCTGCTCTCCGCTCTCTCCCCGGACCCCTCCCTGCACACACCCTCGGCATCACCATTCCTGGCCCCACGACCCCCGTGGCACTGCCCTCTGCGTGGGCACCTTCCACACATTAGCCACGCAGGGCATTCTCCCCACTCTCCACATGTAGCCCAGGCCCCTCTGCACCTGTGGTCATGGCCGCTTTCCACCCACAGAGACCCCTGGCTTCCTCTCGCCATTTCTGCTCCCGCGGCAGCCCCATGCTTCCGCTTCCAGCCCTCCTCCCTGGGCCTGCACTAAACTCCGTTACACTCGCCTCCGGCGGGCACAGAACACCAGCCTCCACCGTGAGGACAAAGGCTGAGGCTGGCCAGAGGGGGTGGCCGGGACCACCTTGCACAGGAGGCCATCGCCGGGAAGGGCGGACCAGTGGCTGTGGGACACCCTCAGCGAGACTGGCAGCGCCTCCTAGAGTCCCACAGCCGTGTTTCCACGCCTCTCATCCTGCCAGACACGTGGCTCTGTGTGCAGGTCATGGACAAGCAGACTGTCCCAGGCAAAGCTGGCAGGCTGCCACTGCCCGCCAGCCCTGCCAGGACCCGAGCGACGTGTCCTTCCCTCCTTGCTGGTACAGCCTTTGGCCTCAACTCCTGCGTGTGGCCTGGGTCACGGTGAGTGGGACAGAGGCCGGAGCTGCTGGTGCCCACCCACAGCCCTGCTGATGCCAGCAAGCAGCTTCAATTTCAGTGTCTGAAGTGCAAACCGCTCTCTGCAGGGGCACGGAGCCCCCACTGGGTGCAGCAGCAAGGAGGAGTGCTGGGGAGCCGGGGGCCTGCAGGGGCTCAAGGAGTCAGGTGCCCTCGGCAAGAAGGCAGAGGGGCAGGAGCCTGCCCGGCCGGTCACCTCCTCCTCTGGCTGGGGACACAGCGTCCAGAGTAAAATTTGGAAAGAAGTGAGTGTCCTTTAGCAGGCACCGCAGTAAGCAAACAGGACACCCCCCACCCCACCCTGGTGAGCTCTCCTGTCAGTACAGTGTGGGGCCCTGCAGCCCTGGAAGGGACCAGAACTGACCCTGCCCACCCTCCTCACCCTCTCCCAGGACCACTGGGCACAGATCCCGGGCCAGTGGTGGGGCCTGGCCCATGTGCACCAGGTGAAGCCCTACCCCGCAGTGTGCCAGGCATGTCTGCACCCTCGAGGACAGCCCTACATGCAGCCACTGCCCATGTCTACACGGCCAGACACCCATGAAACATGCTGAAGAGCGGACAGACGCCGGTCCTGCGCCAGCACAGCTGCTCCCCTCCTCTTGCCTCCCCCACGGGGCAGCTCCCGTCCTCCTCTCCCAGGGGGGCTCCTGGGTCACCTTCCCTGACCTCGGAGCAGATGTGCCGTCTGGTTGCTCCTGCAGAGCCTCCAGTCACACAGGTGTCGGTAAGACGAGTGAGCCTACTCTGCAACGTGCACCCTGGACCCCAGCTGTCCATCACTGCCACCTGTGAAGCAGGCTGGGCCACCTGCTTGGGACAGAATGACTGACAGCCCCAGGCTGGCAGGGCCACGCCCACGCCCACCCAGCCCACGCCCACGCCCACCCTGCTGAGGCTGTCAGTTGTCCGGCCGGGTGTGGTTGAGTGTGTGAGCCTCCAGGTACACCTCCACCTGCAGCATGGGCAGGGCCAAGGCCACCAGAAGTTAAACCCTGACCTCACCGGCTCCCAGCGTGGGTGGGGCCAGTCCAGCGTGGGCAGCACAGCGGGAACTCAGGCAAAGAGGGCATTTGGGGGACACAGAGGGCTGCCACCCAGGGAGCCCGAGTCAGTGCTCAGGTGTGAGCTCCTGAGGGCAGCCAGGGTCAGACACGGGCACCTGGAACAGCAACATCTGCACATGCCAAGGGTCCATGCACCCGCCAAATCTGTGCACGCCCCCCACGCACAGAGTAAGAGCACCCCTGCCCAGAGGGACCCACGCCGTGCCCGCCCCCGACAGCAGAGGAGCTGTGCAGTGTGTCATCCTTTCTCTCCCCATCATACACTTGCCGTCGTGTGTCCTCCCAAATCTTCCTCTGCCCGGGGCCATGAGAGACATGTAAACACACGGAGTCACGGGTGCACACACAGGAGGGCGCCGGTAACTCCCGTGCAGCACACAGCACAGCGGGCTCCTTCACCCGCCACCCCTCCCAGCTGCTGCCAGTGTGAAGCGGGCACAGGGAGGACCAGCCAGCGGGAGGCCACGGAGGAGCCCGCAGTCCTCCCAGAGCGGAAGCCCGATGCCCTGTCAGAGAACGGGTTACTGAAGAGTAGTGCTGGCACCAGGAAGAAGAGCAAACTGGACTTCCTCCCTCAAAGGTCTTAGTCCATATTATGCAAAGCATTCTAGATGCTTTCAAGGCTGAAGGGAGCCGTCAGTTTCCATAACAGACAGCCACTGCAAACGGGTGAGAGAGGCATTCTGAGAGAAACAGTCCAAGAACACAAGAGGCGAGTCACAGACGGAGAAACGCAAACCTCCAGGGACCTTGCAGCAAAGATCCGCTGCCCCGGGACCCCGGGAGGACCCTGCTCAGGGAGCGCCGGGAT